CTGATTGGGTTACTTATATGGGTTTAAATATTTTATTTTTTTGTGTGACCACCGTTACAAAGGACTGGATATCTATAAAGAGTTTTGCACAGAATATATATTCAGCTATTGCAGGAAAGGACGTTGTGATGTAATAAGGAAACAGTGTTGGAAATTTAGCAACCCATAATATTCTCATATTTATGAATTTGAAGACGTGATAGTGTCATTAGAAACTGAATTGGAAATGACCTTATTTTAATATAGTCATTCGTGAACTGAGCTGGACCGGCCCTGGCCCAGAGTGCATGAAAACATGCCCAAGGGTTAAAGGAAGGCTTGTTTGCATGTAGCTGTTTTTGTAATACGTGCACTCTGGGTTGTGTTGACTTAGTGTTGGGTCAAATCTGGACAGACTCGATTGTCTGGCTAAAATGTGTCATTCAGCAGTAACTGCAGAGAATGAACTGGATGAGAATGCAGTTTCTGTCATAATTGGAGGCAAATGCTTGTGTTACACTGCAGTGCTGAAATCTGCATACAGTACATTCAGTTCAATAGGGCTTTATTTGTACAGCGCTTTTACAATTGTGATTGTGTCAAGCAGCTTCACATACAGTAGAAGATCTTAGTAAATGTGAACAGTGTAGTTCAGAGTTTCAGTTCAGTTCAGTGTGGTTTAATAATCACTACTGAGAGTCCAAACACTGAAGAGCGAATCCATATTTGCTGCTATATCAGTGCATAAGTTTTAGTTTGCTTTAAAATGACCCAGCATTGTCAAATATGGACAAACACAACATTGGGTGATTTTAAAGCCAAAGCTTTGTACACTCACAAAAAGATGTTTGCGGTTTGTTCAAACTGCTTGTTGAAAATGAGCTGACTTAACACAATTCTTTAGTTTTTGGGGAAAAATCGTAATTGTTCCATGTTTAATCCACTTAAATTTGTCAAATCTAAATACGTTAACTTAATTCCTTCAAGTTGCTGCAAAACAAATCGCCTGAATTGCAATGCATTTTTTTACAGTGTAAACAAAAGCATGTTAGTATAAGGTGCGTTAAGTTTGTGTTTAGCACATAATTTATTTGTTTTCCTTTGGCTTAGTCCATTTATTAATCAGGGGTCACCACAGCGGAATGAACCGCCAACTATTTCGGCATATGTTTTACTCAGCCCATGCCTTTTCAGCTGTAACCCATCACTGGGAAACATTTATTGACACTCATGAGCACACATACACTATAGACAATTTAGCCTACCCAATTGACCCGTACCACATGTTTTTGGACTTGTAGGGGAACCCGAAGAGAAATTTGGAAGGAGCTAAACTAAATGTATACACTAGTAAAAGCTGGGTTGTCATATAGGGGTTGGGTCAAATATGGACAAACTCAACTGTTGAATAAATAAAGTGTTGTTTAAATGTAATTAAGGGCGGCTCAGTGGTCAGCACTGTGCTCCGGTTTCCCCCACAGTCCAAACACATGCGCTATAGGGGAATTGAGGAACTTAATTGGCCATAGTGTATGAGTGTGTATGTGTGTGTGTGTGTGTGCGTACATGTTTTTGTGACATATCAGGACACAAATCTGTATAATGACATGGGTATGACACAGGTATTACAAAAAGGAGGTGAAATATGAGGACATTGGTGACGTCCTCACTTCTCAAAATGCTTATAAATCCTACAGGATGAGTTTAATCAGAGAGTAAAGCTGCACACAGTCTCCTGTGATGGTTGGGTTTAGGGTTGAGGGCAATATAATATACGGTTTGGAA